CCCAATTGTCTTCGACAAACCGCCACGCGAGTTCACGCCCTGCTAAACTAAAAATGAAAACAAACAAAGGAAATACAAGGAAAATTTGTATATCTGGATTTTTGTTTCGTTTTTTGTTTGTTTGTCTTTATGTTTATTTGTCTGACTGTCTTTCTTTTTTCTTTTTTTTTTTTTTTTGAAGCGCTTTAACGCGTTTTAACTGGTCTCGGACTGTACAGTCCGAGACCAGTAACGGACATTCACGCATCGGAAAACTTGATAAAAATGAAACGATCTGGGTTTCAATCAAGAAATGCGGAAACATTCAAGGGAGGAGTACCCAGATTAATCTTGGAATGGGATTAAAACATAGGGGCGATATTCGCCTCCAGATTTTACTATTTCGTCTTCTTAAAGACAGGTCAATTCAACTCTTTTCACCACAGTACAATAAGAACACTAACGTTTGCAGCAGCAGTACGGGAAACGCTCGATGGCACAGTAGGTTTGCCAGTATAATCTGTTTTCTGCATTATACCGTTCATAACCTTTACCACGACCTAACTGGTAAATATTTCATCTGTTTCCACTCGTTAATATCCTTCCTTTCAGAGAGTTCATTATTTTGTTGGGACACTTAAGCGGCTTGGCCAGTTTTCCAGTGCCTCACCCAAGGGCTAGGTAATACAAACAAGCCAGCATTGAAATTGAAACTGATTTATGATACAAAGTGCTGAATCTTGCGTCACATAGACAGATCTCTTTGCTAACTACCTAACACTTACCTGCCGGTTACACCAGCGATAACGTAAACAGTATCCTGTGATCGAACATCACTCTGAAAAGAGCGCAGTAGGAAACAAAATGATAATTAACAACGAGAAATAACGAGTTAACTTTACAGGCTAACCATTAATTCAGGCGTTGGTAGGAACGAAATTATCGAGTACACAGGCTAACCATGAATTTAAGCGTCGGTAGGAACGAAAATTATCGAGTACACAGGCTAACCATGAATTCAAGCGTTGCTGTCACCCAGTGACAGTTGGCAACTTTTATCGTGAGATTAGCACGTAAATTTCCTCGTCATAATCGAGCTCTTATTGCTTGGGCTCTTAACCCTTTACACGCTAATATTAGAATTCATATTCTCCACACTGTTCTGTTTATATTTCCTACTACAATACTAAGGAGAATTTGTGTCAGAATCGGGTGCTCCCCTAATTAGTGATCATGTCTATTATTCTCGTGACCTTTTTATTTGATTCAAAAGTGATACTGTAACGAGAAATTAGACATCAGTCATGGTTCTGTCGGCCATTTGAACATTCCTTGAGCAAACAGTGTTCGATTTCAGTGATTTGCTTGTTTGTTTCTTTTCGATTACTTGTTTTCTTGTTTATTAGTTTGTTTTTGCCAAGAATAGTGGACACCTTTGTAACAGGGAGCACTAACCAACACAACCCAAGAGGAACTCTTTTGTGTCAGTGTAATTATTACAAAAAGGTTCAAGTATCGAGGAACAATTTGCACGTTGCCAAAAGAATAAAACCTCTCCCATTATTGAAGGCGTCAAGCTTCTGAACCCAAATGGACGTGAATTAAAAGCAGAAGCTACAAGACTCACCGACATTGAGAACTCCAGGACTTTCTTGATCAAATCAGGTTGTGATACAGCTCCCATACATCTCATCAATCGGACTTTCTCTTCATGCAAATCAGCTTCTTTAAAAAGATTCATCACAGACTCTAAGGTGTTATCATCACCATGCTTAAGAACTGTGCTATAAACCGCTGACCTCAAGTCTGCCGAGATGGTGGATTCACCTTTGCAGTGCGCTTCAAATCTCTTGCGCGCCTCGGTGAGGGTTGCTTGATCACCACTGCGTCCCATACAGCCCAGCACCAGGCCCCTCAGCAACGCATCCAAATGACCTAGGACAATAGTTGACAATTAAACCCATTATTCTGATCCAGATTAAAAGTCGGCACTCTTAGAGAATGTTGCCGCGTTCTCTGTCATGAAGGAATTAAGACTACTGCTTCTTTCTCTTTCTTAAGTCACAATAATTATCTATCAAAAATTACCCCCTCCACGCGCCTTTAGTCAGGCTACCCTGACAGTTTTCTGCTACCTATTTTCGCTCCTGGGTGGAGAGAGCTACTGCTGGCACAGTGTCTGGAACAAGACTTCAACAAAATTACCAGAGCAGCTGCCCAGACTTGACCCCAGACCTCTCAATTTAGCGCCCTAATTAGTCGTCCTATACTAATTCCACATGTATATAGTGAGGCCGGCTTTGTGCGTCGCCTAGCTCTCAAAGGACAGACGATAATGTCTCATGATCCTGCAAGAGGGTCTGGCGAAAGTCGACAATTTGCCCATTCTACCCATAAAATCATCAACCTTTTGCATTAAGTGATATACCGTATATACCTAAAAATTAGAAATCCTGTGGATGAAATTTATGGAACTGGTCCTTGTTAGGGAACCTTCAATTCTTGAAGTATACGCTCTTAGAAGTAGACAAATATGAGCAAATCCGAGAGCTTGCTTTGTCTGTTACCTTCTCCAGCTTTAGGGTCCCATCCAACTTTCTGGGCAATGTTTTCGTACAGCTTCACACAGAAGGCCTGGAAGCTAGAGTAGAACCCAGTGTTTTGCAACAGCTTCGACAAGCTGCTCATATTCGTTGTTAGGTCATTCCACACTGTATAGTTTGTTTCGTTGCCAAATTGTTCAGCTAATTTTAGGAATTCTGTTGTGGATGTGAGGCCCGCTTGCGCCTGAAGAAGAAGAATGTTTAAAATTGGAAAGTAAACTGGAACTCTCGGCGAGTTTTCAAATAAAGACTTTCGAGAAAGAGAGATAAAAGCTCACACGATCAATTACAGTCCGATAAGGTTCTAGCGATAAAGAACTTTTTGCAAGTGTAAGCTTGTTACAAACAAATCATAACGCGGATTTTACGAGAATATGAAATGAGAATAATTCCATAAAAGTCCTAATGTTTGTAGAAATAATTTAAGTTGTAAAATGTATCAAGAGATTCTTTAACAAAAGCCGTCTAGAGGTGGACTCATCAACATACCAGAGCAAACAGATCACTCTGCAAACCCAATCTGTCCCTTGGTGGAAGACTGTTGTCCTTTATGGCTGGCAGGAGAAGCTCCAACATGTCGGACGAGTACTGTACTCGGTAGAAACCAACTTGGCCTGGATTTAACTGCAGAGAGAGAGAGATTTCACCCTTTACATGTTAATCACTTCATTTCTAAGAAAGTTCGAAGCGATGTGAGTTCGTCATAAGTTATCCCTCCC